GACCTGATAAGACATAGAATTTTAATTAAACCTAATTGAATAGAAATTTCACTTCATGCAGCTTTATTAATATATCTAAATCCGTTGCCCCCCCATACATTTGGTCTACAGCTACCCTGGCATTGATGACTGAAAGACATCTTCTGCCTCCATTTATCTGTTTACTACAGTCTGTTGGATTCATGTTAATGTGGATTTAAAGACATTTCAATTAGTGGGAAAAACTGCAGGAGGGGATATAAAAAAAGTCTAATCAACCAAAACTTTGGTGACCCCCCCATGCAGTAGCCTACCTCTGTGGCCCCCCCAGGACCTCCAATCTAAGGTTGGACCAAACAATATGTGTTTCTTTCTCTCAGAGTTTTTCCTGAATTTCTTCTAGAAGCACTTTTCTTATTTTTCTTCATATATTTTGGCAAGTTGGCCTTTCTGGTTTTTACAATGACATTAATGTTTGCCATGAAATATGTCCATAATAAGGTCTATAACTGATGGAACCACAGTGAGTGTGTGTGTGTGTGGGGGGGGTGGGGGGTCTGGGTGTTGATAAAGCTGCTGCTTATCTTGGCGCGCTGAACGGTGGAATATTCTCTGTTCTGGGATCAGTCTGATCCACTGACCCACCTGCGCAGGTGGATCAGTCTGATTCACCTGCGCAGGTGCATGAGCCCCGTGTATCCCAGCGGGGGGCAGGTGAGGGCAGTGATCGATCACTTGTTTACCCCATGAAGCTCCATCCTCCAGGCCAGCCCTCCCTCTGATGACAGGGGGGTGAATGAACTCTGCTCTGCCTGGACCTACAGCTGAACACAGGCAGCTCTGTGGCTCACTGGGCTCCGCCTGTAACACACTTTCATTCGGCCAACATCTCAGCAGCTGTCAGCTGATCTATGATCTACCATGAAGCAGTGAAATTATAGCCGCGCTGCTCTGATCGTTTCCGCCTTTAGTGTCACCAGCAAAAAAAGTTTTAATTTAGGCTGAATTAATGGATGTTTGTGGTTTCAATAGGAGCCGAATTAAAGAGCAAACTGTAATCCTCCAATCAGGCCCATCATGGATTATGAATATGATATAAAGAAGGCATGCCACCAGCAGTGGGGGAAATGCGGGATTTTCTGAACTGAGTCTGGTTGACGTCCCTGTTTGGCAGCGGTAGCTGCCAGCTAGCACAGCGGCTCACCTCCCCAGATCCCGATCTTCAGTTGAGACTTGTCCAAGTTCTCCACGTAGTCCCCGATGAACCTGTTGAGAAGGTCGCTGACCATGGACTCGAACACCATGGCTGGAAGCTCCGGGGGGGACCCGCTGAGGGACGCGGACTGTCTGCACCTGAGTTCCGGCTGCGCGGATCGACTCGATCTGGGATCTACTGGCGCTGTCTGCAGGTGTCTGTCTGCGGCACAGAGGAAGATGGCGGTCAGGTGACAGAGGGAGGAGCAGAGGGAGCTCCTCTGTCACCTGACTCCTCAGGCTGTGCGACCGCCATGTTGGATCCAAACAATGGATCAATGGATGGAGATGTTCACCGTCAGCAGCCAAATCTAGATCAACTTTAGATTTAATTATCTAATATATAAAGCTTGGCAACATGAAAATGGCTCCATGTCTGATTTTAAAACCAGAGATTATAAAGCAGGAGAGACTGGTGGCCATGGCAACGCCTTTTGTTGTTGTTGTTGTTGTTAAACTAAATGGAAATTGGTAGAAAGAGTTTTAGGGCCAGAATAGAGATTTTATTTTCTTCTATTTCCAGAATTATTCTTGAAAAAGAAGAAAAAAATATCTCTAGCCCGGCCCTAATACTCTGCTGTAATATGGAGGACCAGCTCTACCATGTTTAAAAATAAATACAGAAATAAATAATTGCTCAATACATAAATAAGAATGCCATTAAAAATACAATAAACAAATGAATTTAGATAGAAATTAAATTATACAGTGAGACATTAATGTATATATCTATTTTAATTTGCTTCTTTATTTATTAC